AGAATTTAAGAAATTATTCGAATTAGTGGAAATATTGTTTAAATGTTCTAAAGGGACGCCTTGTATCGTAAAAATCTCAATATTAGCAGCATTACTAAGTATTTTAAAAAATCCATGTCCCCATTTAGCCCACTCCTTTCTAGACCTACTTGCGGAAATAAAATTTGCATGTGTGTTATAATTTTGTAATCGTTACTTATATGTGCTAAACGTTCTTTCGTGCTAAAACTATTTCCTCTAATTGAATAATAACATGTAATAATTTCTATGAAATAATTCATTTCTCACTTTTGCTACAACTTACACGAGACTAGCGCAACCACTCCTTTTTTGCGTTTATATATTATTATTGTTTTTATTATTATTTTTTTTTTTTTTTTTTTGGTCTTCATCATCCCTAGTAGAGTTTGTACTTTTCTTTCTGCGGCTAGGATTATTGTTCACATTCATATTCAATTACATTAGAGCAAAAAAAAAAAAAAAAAACGCATAGCATCGCTGATTTATTGACAGTTGGCAAACAGTCTAATTTAATGAAACACCCTGACCTGGGTAATAAAGTGACAGATATTGTCTATGTCATCAATTAGAATTCCACAAGAGGGCAGACAGGCACAGTGTTTGGAATTCGAATAAAAATTATTTTAATAAATTTTAATCGAATTAATTTTTAATAGATATGTTAGATATTTTTATGCAATCTTTTATTAAAATTACATTATATGCACACAATCACAATTAATTTTTAATTAAATTGTTTTATCAAAATCATAACTTGCCATGTAATAGCATCCAATTTAAACTAATTATTAGGTAAGACCTATTATAGGTTGAAGTAGTTGTAATTAACATAGTATTGTTTGAGAGATTTATTTTTACACGTTTTAAATTAATTATACTTTTACGAGTTCTTATTACTTTGACTCTAGAGAGCCATAAAATTGAATAATATCATTCAAATGCTATTGCAGTATGTCTGACTACTTTTATGAAAATAAGTAGACAGAAAAGCCTGAATTTCTTTAAAAAAAAAAAGAAAAATAAATAAATAAATAAATAAATAAATAAATAATAATAATAATAATAATAATAATAATAATAATAATAATAATAATAATAATAATAATAATAATAATAATAATAATAATAATAATAATAATAATAATAACAATAATAATAATAATAATAATAACAATAATAATAATAATAAATAAATAAATGAATATAAATTAAACATTACGTTTCAGGATGCTCTTCAAAAAAGCTTGTCTGAAGCGTTATTAAATTTTTGCTCTTTATAATATTTTTGGACAGACAATCACTTAGGCTTGGGTGGTAAGGAGACTACAAAGTCTGACTTCTCCTAACAAATATCATTGCTAAAGAGTGCATTTTATAACTTTGTTAAGACTTAAATATAAAAACTAACCTAATTAGACAGACGTAGCACAGTTTATATGTCATTTATATCAATTTCTGATGAAGTATATATGGGAGCTATAACTATATCTAAACCGATTTGTACAAAGTTTGGCAAAGGTATTTCTAAGCTCTAGAGACAGCTTTGAGAACATATGTATGGCTATATCTGAAAATTTTATTAACCTTCTCCTACCCTGAATTGGATAGTATGTACCAAAATCTATTTAATTTTTAAATAAAGGTGAAATCGATGAGAGCTATAACCGAATATAAACCAGTTTACGCCAATTTCATTTCAGTTTTTATCCATGGGCCAAACAATAAATCCTGTTTACTAATATACATGGACAGACGAACTTGCATAAATCAACTTACAAGAGGAACTAAAACACACAGATGTAATACCCCGTACCACGGTATGGCATAGGTGTGTGGTATCTTGGATTCTGGTTTGACCAAATCAAAAAAAAAATACGAGAATGTTGGAGTAGATGTAATTAATTTGACGAAGCCCATAAATTGGATTTCCATTCAAAATGTTGCCATTTTGTGGAAAAGGAGTGCAAAATTGTGATACAAGTATTACAGTGAATGACGTTTAAACTATGTCGGCTATTCACTTCTTTCTCACTTTTTTTTCGAAAATCTTGAACATTTGTGGGAAAGGTACTAGAAGAAGTGAACCGCTGTAATTCAATTTAACCCCAAATCTCTTATTGATATTTGCGGAGTTGTCGATTATGCACCTGATCTAAGTGTGATATAAATATTATTATTTGAAAAGTTTCAAAAAAATTGGATACTACTAACTAATATTTGTACCCTTAGGCTACCTTTATGACAACATTGAATGTATACCATTTGATACCGCCAAAATGAGTCTTTTCGAATAACGGGCCCTTGTTCTCTTTAGACGAAATCCATTTCAGGACATTTGGAGTCGATCTAATCTTATGCACACTTTAAATTCTGAGTGGACAGTAAATTCCTCCAAACTTGGCATATTGTAATTTAATTTTCAAACTTAAATCGAGTTCACAAAGTTGATCAACTCCTTCTCCTCCTCCTTCATCCATTAAGGTTTAAATCTTATAAAATATGAAAGAAATTCGCCTATATTAATATTTCACCAGCTTTAGATCTGACATGAAGATAGGATGGAACGGATCACTCTTTCTCGTACCTCCTCCAAAACGGTTCAATTAATACAAAAAAAAAAAATGAAAAATTATAACAAAGTCAAAATCTCCCTTTTTAATTCGAATTTTGGGTAAACTGTCAAAGAAAGATTTTTTCGCTATAGAATTTCATTGTGAGTCTCTAAACATAATATGTACCAAGAAAAAATAATTAATTTGTTTTATAAAAAAAATATTTTCGACAAATGAAGAACTTCGCTGCTAATTTTCTAACTTCACTGTCTAATAACGTTTCTGAAAATTGTGAAAATTCCAAGATAATTTGGAAGCACTAGGTTTGTAGATCAAAACCATGAAAAAATGTCAGATTCTTAACCAAAAATATTTTTAGTCCTTGACAATATATATATATATATATATATATATATATATATATATATATATATATATATATATATATATATATATATATATATATATATTGTTATTTCTGTCCTCCGCAGCCGTAATATGCACTCTGTAACAACAATATTTGGAGAAATGCATCAAATACAGCTCAGAAATATCTTTGCCAAGTTTTATCGAGATCGGTTCAGATTTGAATATACCTACCATATATAACTTCGTCCTATTTACCTTTTATTGTGCACCAAACGTCTAATATTTGCCCAAATGGGCACTTACGACCGAATTGAGTCTAGAAGCAAGTATGTCAAATTTGGTGAGGATCGGTCCAGATATAGCTATAGCTCCCATATATACTGTTCATCCGATTTTTTATATTTGTTACCCACAGCCGTAATATGCACTCCGTAACAACGATATTCAGGGAAATATATCAAATACAGATCAGAAATATCTTTGCCAAATTTTATCGAGATCGGTTCAGATTTGAATATAGCTCCCATATATGTATTTTGCCGATTTCAAATTAATTGTGCACCAAATGGGCAATACAAGTCCGAATTTAAAAGATACAAATGCTTCTGCATATTTAGTCCTTTAAATTATAATCATAGCGTGTATGATTGATTTCTCCCATAAAAACTTTTAATTGTTATGTGGAGCTCTACTAAATTTGCAAAGTGGTGTAGGGTATCATAAAGTCGGCCCGCCCGACTTTAGGACTTTCTTTACTGGTTTCCAATCGATTTGGCTGAAATTTTTGTATTTCGCAGAATAGAGAAGAGTAAATGAATAGGTGAAATCAGCGTATCATATAGAACTACTTTCAATAAATGACTCCCTGATGAACTCCAAATTTCTTGGATCGATTTGGTGACTACTTAAATCTTGATGTGTGTAATTTCTAATTATTATTTTTTTTAGATTTGTTGATTGTAAATAATATAAGACTTGGCCAGTTAGATCGAAGTTTATATTACTAGATTTGTCAACTTGGATTTTTACTTTGAAATTTCATATGTAGCTATAATAGATGGAAATGGTAGAGATGGGAATTTTTGTGTTTTTGTTCACAAAAATTGTGGTCCATTTCACCCTCTAACCATCCAAATTGGTAGGCTGCTGCCCAGCCCTAAACTTTATTCCCATGAACAACATTCCGTTCCAACCATTTAAACAGACGAACCAGCGGTTACACATATCTAGATCGACTCAGCTAGGCGAGATAAGAAGATCCATATGTAACATCCTATGTCCAGGACCAATATTTCGAGGTGTTACAAACTGTTTGGCCCAAACTAATAATACGTCCAACACATAGTGTTGTGGGGTATAAAATGTCAACACTAACCGAAATCTTGTTTTCATTCAACGTCTAATTTTGTAATTTTAAACACTGTTGGTTATGTTCTAACACATGTTCGAGTTAGGAACGGGGTGTGGAAGTCGGAGGTCATAGGCAGGCAATCAATCTCCACATTTGTTGCTGCTAGCAGATGAACACAGATACAATCGTGCGATTATTATAACGTAATAGAACAAACTCGGTGACTTAACACGCACAACACGCTCTTCAAATATGTATGCTAAAGCGACTTGAGCTAGCCTGAGATGATATCATTCTCCAAGGTGATACACAAGACATGTTTAAACCAGTAGCCAAATACGCTGGGTAGTGTTGTTGGGAACATTTGATATCAAACTGTGGGCAGAGACGACGTCAACACCAACTACATCATCACCGTCATCATGACGGCGGTCATCATTATCATCATCGTCATCACCGGTAACATCATTTGTCATTATTGTCATTGTCGTTAGCATAGAAACCCTAGAAGGGAAATGGAAATTCCATGCCAAAGGTATTTGTAAAAAACCACAAAAACTGACGAGAGAAAGTTCAAACTGGTTTGCAAATTCCAAATCAAAGTTGAGGATTGTAAAGTAGATCGTTTCAAGGTAGGTACTACTAGGTCTATTCCCCCAACCACAGATGGAAAGCAATAACAACGACAATCGAAAATAGAAACTTACGGCCCATAGCGTGTTGAATATTAGCAGGACACATTTGATGGTTCTGGTTGCACAACCCATGATTCTTTGGTTCGGAGTTTCGTGTGTTTGGTTTGAGGGTATTGAAAATTTAAATTTTTGAGTAATTATTCGACGGAATAATTAAACAAATTAGCTATGTTCTCCGGTATTCGAACCGCACAACACGAACTTTTATGTCGAAACTTCTTTTGTAATGCCGCGATGTTTCAAACACTCAATGAAATCACGAACGAAAGGCGCGAAAGAACGCAACGCTGTGTGACGGCAAAAACGAGAAAATAGACAACTGTCAAGGGCCACGGCCGCGAATGAACTAAACAACAAAACACAAACGTTGTTAATATTTGCATTTGCTCTGCGAAAACACACAGCCGGAGATGGAAGAGCAAAGCGAAAAAAAAAAAAAAACAGAAACAAAATAAACAGAATGTAAACAGAAAACAATAGTACACAAACAACAACAACAGCACACTGGCAATTGAAAGCTTTGAACGCTCAGTAGAACCGACATACCTACCTACAAACATACATAAGTGTTCACTCGGTTAGATGGATGGATGGGTAGGGGATATGTGACCGGGCGATGTTCTCAGCCACATTAACATACTCGCAAAGATGACAGACGACGAACGGACGAACGCTTCCAGTTCAAACGGTCGGTGCCCAATTCTGTTTAACTCTCTCGCCCAAAACTGAAATCTGTAAACACCGCAAGTGAGTGAGCGAACGAGCGAGCGAGTTCACAGCAACAGCTGCCAGTTCTGATGCCACTGGTGGTTGGTGTTGTTGTTGGTGGGTTGTTAACGAATTAGAAATCCATGGCAGAGCGCAAAGCTACAATCTGTAGAATACTTGAACGCCAGCCAACAAATGGATCTCGTCGATGTTGTTCTTGTTGGGGGGAGTTATTAGAGCGTTTACAAAACAAACACAGCAAACATACCAACACATTGTCTCCCCCAATTTGAATTTGAATTGAAAATCAATTTCGGAACTTGTTGCTGGCTCCGAATATATAAAGAATAGAAAATGTGTTCCGATCGTTAAACCAACCACAAAAATGATAATCTCTGAAAAGAAAACAACATTTGCGGAAACGAAACAACATGGAAAAACAATAAAAACAAATTGTTTCTCGTTTAGTTCTTTTAGTTGTAATATTTGATGTCAGCATGTCGATTTTGGAACTAGTTTGGCTACAACATCTACTGGATCTATGGATAAACAGATTTGTGGCCTCAATCTCGACAAATATATTTACATTTTTATCTTTGTCTAGGTCTTAAATTTAAAACATTTTTTTATGATTTCAATATCATCTTCTCCATGAGCCGTCCGGTCCAGTTTGCGATTTTACCGAACATCGACCGAATTCACGTTGATTCTCTTCGCCAAGATAGACGTCATCATTTGTTTGTTCAAATAAATGCCTCGTTGGTACAACGTGTTACCAAATGTGGCAAAAATCTTACCCCCTCTTGAAAAGAAGCGCGTTTTACTCCCTCCACCATAAAATGGGTGTTATGTGGCTTTCTCATTCCTTCGCAACACCTTGAAATATTTTTCGATACATATATGTATATTCATGTCTAGCATAAAATTCTTAATCTATTTAACGATGTACGTCATTTTGGTAAAATCTATATAGAGGTCGCAATATAAAACATAAATTAAATCAATAAAAAGCAACAAAGTACGACCAGACCGAACTCTTAACACCCTCTACCATTTAGAAGAAACTTGCAAAATGTGAAAACATTCCGTTGCCTCCAAAACTATCAAAACATCGAATAACGGGTAAAAAATTAGAGGGTAAGCGAGTATTGCCAATTATTTAGCAGAGAAGGATTATGGCGAAGCCAAAATACCGATTTTGAGATAATTCCGTTGAAAAATCTATATAAGACAAAGGTGTTTTTATACCCTCCACCATACATAGTCATTCCGTCATTCCGTTTGTAACTCATCGAAATAATATTTTTTTTTTGCAGTAGTATATTCTTGATCAGCGTGAAATTGAAAGGAGTTTTTTATGAGCAATTTACTGAGAATTGTGAGCACCTGAAAGAGAATTGTCTATATAGGTCCACGATATCGTATACTTCCATATAACAGCACCTCCCGATATTCGGTATTTTGATAATTTTAGCCACACTTTTCAACGGAACTGTCTGAAAATTCACACAAGGAGTTCCTTGTGAGTACTCTACCCCCTAGATGAAAACTATCTATATAGGTCTACGATAGCGTATAGCCACCATATAAAGGTACCCCCCGATATTCGGTATTTTGATAATTTTAAGCACATTTTTCAATGGAATAGTCTGAACGGAAGAAAAAAGTAAATATATCCTCCATTCGATGAGGGTATAAAAACGGATGCAGGTCCCTTGAACCAAATCCGTTTCAGGACATTTGGAGTCAATCTAGGGGTGTTTGTCCGTCCGTTTGTCTGGCTGGTGCGCACGATAACTCTTGAAGGGATTATACGTTATGATCCAAACTCGTTACATCGTAATATTATTGTCAAACTTAGATCGAGTTCGGAGATGGGAAACATCAGTTCACTCCTTCTGCTAACTCCCCCTCAAAAGGTCAAAATTTTCACAGAAAATAATTCAGCGTATAGAACAAGAAAAACATCATCAAATTTTGAGCAAAATTTTCAAATTCCCATTTTTTTACATTAGTTTTACATCAGGTGCGAAAATGGACAATATTGGTCAACTCTATTAAATACCTCCAACATAAATGGCAAAATTTGAAATAACAAGTTTAATAGTATCATTCGGTCTTGTCGACACATGTATACCCCAAGCCTTGCGTTATAATAATTCAAACTATTGACTCTTTATGGGGAAAGTTCCGAAGAAGAGTTCATTATTGTACATTTCGTATCTGACCTAAGTATGATATAAATTTTACACCGAGCCAGATTAAGGCTATATCACATTTTATGAGATATGTGATAATTTTTGGAAAATATTGAAAAGCCCGCCTTACAATGGACCGAATTATTTCACCTCAAATCGAACATTTGTTTCCAATTTTATGCGAATAAATGAAAATCAAAATGTTCAACTTTTGTGGGGAAGGTACATTAGATCCCAGGTTGAGAGGGATATTTAGATATACGAATCTTGAACAGAGTCACTGACATATTTCGGAAGTTGTTTAATATACAGTGTGAGATCAAAAAAACTGCAACCAAGTCAAAAGGCATATTTTTTACATTTTTTTTAATGTTATTGAATGAAAGCAAAAAATGTTGGAAACACCCTCAAATTTTGAAATAAATTTAGATTTGCTCAAATTGGTCACCTTTGGCACGAATTATTACCTTCAAACGGCCAATGAAACCGTCACACGCTGCCCGAATATAGCTCTGCGGTATTATGGCCATTCCCGGCGAAGCGCTTGCTTGTGCATTCCAGACACAATAGCCCAACGGATTGGTATCCGGAGATTTTGGTGTCCATTGTGCACTGGAAATGAAGCGAGGAATCTCATTTTGTAACCATTCTTGGGTGGCGCGTGCTGAGTGCGATGGTGCTGATTCCTGTTGGAATATCTGAGGTCTGCGGCCAAAATTTTTGCGTGCCCAAAGCTTTAATACACCCTCCAGAATATTTTTGCGATAATATTCGGCATTTATTCTGATGCCATGGTCGATTAATACGAGCGGAGAGCGACCATCGGCTGTTATGGCGGTCCACACTATCACCATGGCCGGCACCTGAGTTCTGGTGGCCAACCGAAGGTGCACATTTTCAGCTGACCTCTTTGGCAAGTAAACACGATAATTTTGTTTGTTTACAAACTGCTGGACAACGAATGTTTTCTAATCGAAGAAAACCAAATTTGGCAGTTCATCACTGTCGGCCGAGCGAGTCAACTCTTTACCTCTTTTGAGTCTATTTTCTTTCTGTTGCGGTGTAAGTTCTTGCACTTTTTGGAATTTCAATGGCTTTAAACCGAGCTCATTTTTCAATATTTGCCGAATGGAATGTTGCGATATGTTCGGCTCACGAACGATTTTCGGCCACTGCGACGCGGGTTTCGATCACGTCGCTTCTTTAATTTTCGAACCATTTCTGCTGATGTTTCTATTTTCTTCCGTCCACTTCCTTGACGTCGGGCAACGCTACCAGTATCACGGTAACGAGCGATGGTACGAGACACAAAAGATTTATTCACATTTGAATGCTGGGGTGCTCTAACGATAGCCACTTGTGGTTTACAGCCAAATATAAAGAAACCACACTATCACGCTTCAATTCCATCACGAATAACTTTTTTCTTGAAAATCCTCACCAAAATGCTTTTGTACGCTGGTAAACAATATAATGAGCTGTCACTGGAATATTTTTAACAGCTGTCGGACGAGTTGCTTAGAAATGACAGCAGTCTGAACTTGGTTGTAGTTTTTTCATCTCACCCTGTATAAATACTGACAATTGTGACCATTTGTGGAGGAGGTACCAGAAGGGGTTGACCGATATCTTCACACCAGATCTTGTGTTAGTAGAATATTGGATGTGCGGAGTTTGAAGAGAATTGGGTCCTTATTCATATATTGTGACATATATAATTGTTCAAAATGTTGACCCTTTGTGGCGGAGGTACCATAAGGAATAGGCAGATATATCCCATCTACATACTGCAACTTGTGTTGATTGAAGTATTCGAATGTGCCACGTTCGAAAAGAATCCGATGCTCATTTCGCCTTTTAAGAGCATCAAGGTTATTAAAAATTTCGATCCGTTGTTGAGAAGGGACTTTATGGAATTTTGAATCCATATTTTTTTTTTTTAAATTTTATAATTTTTGTAAGTAGCAGGCCTGCCTGGATTGCACAGCAGTTGTTGCTAAGTTTGTAGGATTTCCGGATATTAAGTATATCACAGAAGACTCCAGCATCCGTTCCACATAACCGTCAGAATAGACCGATAACCGTCAGAATAGACAGCTATACCGAATAAAGGTGGATTATTACTGGTCAAGTATGTTGATGTCAAGAGATTCTAAGTTCCATCGTGGTGATATGTAGTCACTAGTATCAGTGCTGTTTCATACATTTGAGCCAACTTCATATTTAACAAATAAACAAGTAAGCAAAGGCTACAGTCGAGCGGGGCCGACCGTTGAATACCCTACAACACTATAATAAACGATACGATACAGCAAAATATTAACATTTATTATTGGTGTTTGACTGAAACGCATCTATATGAGATACAGACATTTGACTATATTCTTCAACGAAATCAGCGTTAGCAACATAGTCAGAAGTGCGTCTTTCCTG